GCCTTTTTCTGTGGCTGATGACGCTGGCTTCAGACAGTTTGTAGGTGTTTTAGACCCAACCTACATAATCCCCACCAGGAAGGCTTTAAAGGAAATGGTGGGAAAAAAGTACCATGCAGAAAAGGAAAAGGCAAAGGCAGAACTTGAGAAGGCCGCATATGTGAGTCTGACAAGTGACATGWGGACATCCATTCATATGGATGCATACTTGGCAGTCACTTGCCATTTTGTTAATGAGCAGGACAAGCTGTCCACAGTGCTGCTGGGAGTGGGCCATTTTCCCAAGTCCCACACTGCAGAAAACATAGCTGAAGTCAAGAGGGCTCTGATGGAAGAGTGGGGCATCCAAAATAAAGTAYGATGCCTTGTCACTGATGCTGCACCAAATATGCTTTTATGTGCAAAAATATTGAAAATGCGCAACACAAAGTGTATTGCACATTCACTTAACCTGATAGTAAAGGAATCCATTGATCGCACACCGGGGCTAGAGGAGATCAGGGAAAAAGCAAGAAAAATAGTTGGTTATTTTAGGTCCAGCACAACAGCAAAGGAGAAGCTCTGCCAAATGCAGCAGCAGTTGGGTCGGCCCAACCTAAAACTGCTGCAAGAGGTTGAAACCAGATGGAACAGCACTTATACCATGCTGCAGCATTTATTTGAGGAGAGAGAGCCAGTTGGTGCTGCCCTGGTCTCACTGAAGACCGACATTATCCCCATCACTGCCACAGAGTACAGTTCAGTTCAGGAGTGTCTGGGAGTACTTTCACCATTTTACAAAGCAACTGTGGAACTGTCAGAAGAGCAAAGAGTGTCAGGGTCAAAGGTCATCCCACTTGTTTGCATGTTGCGATACACTATTTCAAGAAAACAACCTCATCTTAAAGATGAGAAAGCTCTCCAGCTGTGCATSAACCTCACAAGGATGCTGAGTGAGTCTTTATCTCCTCTAGAAACGATGAGTGTAATGAGTGTAGCAACACTGCTAGATCCTAGGTTTAAGGCCATCGGATTCAGCAGCCAGACCAATGCTGAAGCTGCAGTGAAACGTCTGACTGCAGAATGTGCCAACATCATTGGAGCTGAACCAGTCCCTCCTGTCCCATCCACGTCCTCAGAGCCAGAGGCAGCAGCTGGTCCTTCACCCCATTCAGGTACAATTAGCCTCAAGTACATAACATGATGTACTTTCTGTACATCTTAATCCTAAAATGTATTTAAATTACTGATGAGATTAAAATATATGTATGTAATGTCATGAATCTGATACTAACAGTTCTATTTATTACAATTTTGGAGAAAAAAAAAGAAGTTAACATGCTATAAGAAATTGTGTTGCTGATTTATTTGATTACTATTATTAGGTGATGGTCTGTGGGATCTGCTGGACAGCCATGTGGTGGAGAGGCAGGTGAGGAATGCCACTGCAGATGCCACAGTGGAAGTGCAGAGATATATGGCAGATCCTTTAATTCCACSAACAGAGGATCCACTCCATTTCTGGGCGACTAGAAAGACTGTTTATCCAACCTGTACCTGCTTGCACTGCAGTTTCTGTGCACTCYRGCATCTTCCGTTMCWTGTGAAAGGATCTTCTCCAAGGCAGGAGAAAYTGTCWCYAAAAAAAGAAACAGACTCAACCCTCAGACTGTGGAACAAATCCTTTTCTTAAATAAAAATCTAATAAAATAATCTTACATGTCTTATTTATTTTAAAAGTTCATGAGCACTTCCACCACCACACACTCAAATAAAAATACCAAAAAACAAATTTAAAGTCACGCCATGGCACAATTTAAGTTTATTTATAATTAACCATAAACAACCATAACTTTATTTATTCATTCACACACAAAACAAAAAAAAAACATATTCAATGGAGCACAGTAAAAACCCGCAATCATACAGAAATGTTTCCTGACAAATAAACAAACATCCGTCAACTCCATCATGATGAAGCTTCGTTTTGTGTTGCTTCAAGCTGCTCTTCATACTTTTTGCCATAAGATGGCGCCAAAGAGAACTGTGTTGAAAAGCTTCGAGTAATGAATCCTTTTCCAAAGCAAGATTCAGTGCTTCAGAAAGCTTCATTTGCCCATCACTAGCGCAAAGCGTATCTTTTGAATTTTCAATATTTGACTGATTTGACTAATTTTTGTTGGTTCACTAGGGGTTGTTTTGCCCATTCATTTTGACTATTTACAGAGAAAAAACCCAACAGAGGCGATGCTTCAGCAATGAGTTGATCTTCAGCACTGCCTTAAGAAGCCTGGAGGTAATGAGCCAAATTGCACGCAGGTGTGGGTGATCAGCGCTGCCACCAATCATGGAGGTAAGGGGTGAAAACACCAAAATGCCTCACTGTTCAGTAGTCTGTGAGATATTGTGCTAACAGACAGACAAATGAACATCCAAATACAGGCATTTACTTTATCACCTTTTAGCAGTTCCCATCAATGAACATTTCTCTCTGTGTCAGCAGGAGAGTATGTAGGAAATAAGAGGAGTTCAAATAAAAGGGAAAGCGATTGAGTTGTGATCGGGTGCTTTTTAATCCCTTTGATACCTTTGCTGTGACGTTCTGTACCAGGTCGAGAACAACCCCAAATTATTCTTTTAATTTTTTATTCATGACCTGTGGGGACACCCTGACTCGCCCTCTCACAGCTTTGCCCGAGTCTAACTCCCTCCTCCCTCTTTCTTTCTGCTGCTTTTTCTTTTTCTCATGCAGCATGTTAGATCTCCCTCAGCTTTCCTGCCTGATTACTTATTTACATAAAGCTTATAGGGCAGCGGGGCTGCAGAGGCAGCACTAAGAGCATTAGTATGCATGCGTTTTGATTATAATCAACCATAATTATGGACTGAAGCAAGACATGTCCATTAGAGAATTTACTCCAATTATGCAAATATAATTAAATGGATTTCTGTTGTTTCTGAAACAATTACTTTATGATTTATTTTCAAAATTAGCTTAATATGTCTCCCTATTAAACTTTAAAAAAATCACCTTCAATTTATTGATGTAAAAATTAAATTAGCCTAAATGTGACTGAGTATTATTTAAAAAGATAATGTGAAAATATTTACACATTTATCATTTTTACCGGTATAATTTAAATAATTTTCACAATACAACTCAAATGAAAGTTGATTGGGTTTATAGAAAACAAAACAAATGTTTGACTAGCTCTTCTCCTGTGATGGTAGTGTTTTTAGTTCAGATCATGGTGAAATAAAAATGTATTTAGTTTTTAGCAGCTTGACGGTCATCAAAAAATGTTTGTAAAACATCGTCTTTTTTTTTGAGTTGTTGTCATCTGGAATATTATGAGCCATTTTGATTTAAAGAGTATCAAATTATTTCAAGAGAAGAAGTTTTTTTTTTTACTTGTAAGGCTCAGAAATTACATTTCATTAAATTTTGTTTGTTTGTTTTGTATTGGGGCAATAAGAGCCATTTTGAGTGGGGACACAGTTTAAATTCAGGGTGAGTCTAAAGTCTCAGGACATTATTTTAGTTTGGACAGAAAAGTGACGATGAAGGGGAAGGGACTTATCATGACAAAAACATGGCAGCCATCTCAAAAGCCACCTGGATTAAAATAAAGGGGTGTCTTGGGTCTTTTGACTCACCCTAATTACGGCAATGAAATTCCTTGTTGGGGAATCCAACCCCAACTCTCATGACAAACCTTGATACTCACTACTATACAAACAAGGGGCTAATTATTCATGTTAGCTCCACTGCTTCAGTCCTCAGTCAGCCTCCCACACATTCCTGTGTGGCCTGAAGCATCCATACAATAGACTAAACCACCTTTAGGCTAATGAGTGTGTGTGGCATATTTTTTAGGAGGCATAAATGAAATAAAGTTTATGCGACAATAATCCTGAACTCAAGCTGATTACTAGCTCACAGTGTAGCACCCATGTCGTCTGCCGGGCCCGAGCGCCAAACAACTTTCTTTTGTTAATAAAACTGTTTCTCTGCTTTCTTTCTGTGTATGAGTCTTTCCAGGTTGAATTGTTTTGCCTATGTAAATGGTGAATATGCTTACTGTTTTTTTATATTGCATAAAGTATAGTTTCCTGAAATGATTTATCAGGAAAACAATCTCTGTTTTTCCTGGGATTACCACCCATCAGTGGCTCTTTGAATGACCTCAGCTTGGAAAAAAAGGTGAATTCTGATAGAACTATAAGAAAACAGCTAGGCAGAGTGGTGCGAAGACCAAGGTGGATTCTGCGTCATCATAAAACAATTCTACTCTCAAAATTTGCAGCAACTCAGAGAACTTTTTTTTTTACATGACTGAGTTCTTTTGGCAGAAATAATTGACCCTTCCTACCAGAAGTGCTCCAGGCTGCACCAAAAGTACATCTAGCTCCTGCTGCTGCTTTTTAAACAGGCAATGAAGGTTCATAAAATATAGTTATCATAAAATGTCTCTTTCGAGATTGAAGTTATTTTAAGATGACAGATATCTAATGTTAGCTCATCGATTCAAATGAAAACCCTATTTCTCCCCACTGAGGTCAATCAACAGATTTTATTTGTAACATTTACAGAACCTTACAACACAATGTTTAAACTATTATTTATTTAAACTTTTTTTTTACTCTTTGATTATTTGTTTTGTTGTAATTGTAGTCGTTTCCATGTTTGAATGATTATTTTTGTTGACGTCAGATGAAACTTAATGGGAATTTTTTTTATTTAAAAAATGTTCTTAAAGTTAAAAGTACTACTGTACACTTTACACAGTCATTTCCTGGCAAAAACAAGACCACAACACATTGAAAATAACTATTGTCTTTAACTATTGAAGACAGTCTGTTTACAAAATATCTCCTGAACCAGCTGGATTTTTAATTAAACTTCCCAAATGTAATCACTGAGTGTTTATCTAAAACATACACTATTTTTCTTCTTTCTGCTGCCTTTCATTTCCTTTTATTAATCATTTTTATTTTTTATTGTATATAAAATTTGCTTTGTTTTTTATGAAAATGGGTAAATAAATAAAACTGAACTGACCACAAACTCCTGCTGCGACCTTTGAAAACACGAAGAAAAGGACAGTGTAGCCAATTTCACAGCTAGAACTAGGTTTGGTAGTAGATGAGAGTCAGTCTGACTGTATACTCACTGATTCATCTTATGACATCTCACAAGAGATTGCTGAAGAAAGCCTTGTTCAATCATCATGACTATAAGGTTGGTTTTTCATCATGGTCTAAACCTTTAACATGAAAAACACTGGGTGATAGGCATACCTTCAACAAATGCTCAGCCTCTATTTTATACATTTATTTTCCTACTCGTCAGAGAACAGCATGTTCTGGAAGATTCTGTCTCTCTTTGTCTTAAAATTCTTTTAGTTCGGTCCAACATTTGTTTCAGTTTTAAGAAGGAGTTTTACATCTCTGATGTTGATTTTGTTGATCTGAGTGGAACTCAGACTTTCAGCAGCTTTTCAGCATCTTGCAGCAGCACTCACTTAAGCATCTGAGTTTCTTCTGTTTATGTCCTTCTTCTTGAAAGTTCATTATTTTGTTTGTGTTACACATTGACACATTTGTGCTGGTGGGTTTGGACAGTGAGTCAACTAGTCATTAAGTTTTACACCAGGTCCTTCAGCACCTGTAACTCCAAGATACCACACCACTGCAGAAACAGCAGAGAACATCTTCAGAAGTCACAGTTGCTCTGTTTCTGTGAGACATTGAGTGTGGACAGGAATGACAACAGGACAGTTTCTTACTTGTAGGGAAAGTCCTGAACACACAAACTGAGTTTTAGCTGACGAACGTGCTGAACAGTGTCATGGTTTTAGAAAGTTTTTTGACCCATATGCAAACACTCCAGGAGACAACAAATTTTTAAGATGTTTATTTTAAATGATAGTGATCTTGGTCCAACGTGGTCCTGCAGATGCAGGGCAGGGGGTCAGGAACACTGGAGGAGGACGAAAGGTGATAAGACCAGGAAGGTGTATATACAGTAGTAAACACAGAAGAACAGGAGCTAGCTTAYTATGAAGATGAAGCAGGTCAGCCAGGGAGAGGTGAGTGGGATCCTAGGGGTTGAGTCCRTGAGCCAAGGAATGATGAGCAGGTTGGAGGGCAGACAGGTTACGTACTTGAGGAGAGAGAGGAGTCCTGAGAGGGCAGCCGTGGGTGGCGGAGTCCAAAAAGCACAGAGAGATGAAAATGATCTTTGAGTTTGGAGGACCTCAGAGGAACCGGTCCAAACCATCAATGGAGGTAACCTTTTAGGAACACAAACAGGAGAAGGTTATCTCAAAGGTCTAGGCACAAGAGAACTTAGAGAAAAACTCAGAGAGTACTCTAAGGGCTTGAGGTTACCACAAGAATTAACAC